ACATTTCATATTAATAAAGGGAGAATATTTCTGCAGATTCAAAACATAATCAATGCTATTTATATTTTGAAAATAGTGACCAGTTCAAATACTGGTTTGCATTCCTCTAATTTAGCTTTGAAAGAAAATGCTTTGGGTCTAATGGCTTTATCAATCATTTAAAATGTTCTGCCTGGTTTTTGAAAAAAAAATGATACAATCTAGCATAGTGGTTAGAATAACATTGTTTTAAATCCTAATAAAGTGATTATCTAACACAGTGGTAAATTTTTTTTGATGAAAAGCAATTTAACAATGTGGTTAATTAAGACTTTGTTAACTCATTTCATCTTATGTTTCCTATAATGCACACTCCTACCGGGGTTTTCTTATATGTAATGTACTTATTTTTACTAATCGATTTTGGTAAAAATTTGACTTGTTTACACTTAAGCAGAATTCAGTGCCATTCATGATGACAAAGGAAGTGGTATATAATTGTTTTGAATGCCTATTTTTTCCATCTCTAATTTTCTTGTGCTTGGTTTAAATTGTAGAAGTTTGTTTATAGAACTGATTTTTTAAAAGTTTTCCAGCCCTATAATGTACGGAAAGACCTGAAAGAACATTGACTCACATGTAATAGCTTATTTGTTATGATCCTGGTTGCTAGTTTAGATTAATTGTAACATAGCTTTTATGAACGTGTAGCTTAGCTTAAATGTATTATTAAAATGATATTATATTTACATGAAGACCTGATTTAACCGTGGTTTTTTTTTTATTGAAAAATTGTAATTTAGCATCCAGTACAGATATTACTAGATGTAAATTCTTCATGTAAATTTTTTTTCATTTTCTCTTTACTGAAACTACATATAGTCTCCATCTTTCCAGCTCAGATAAATTGCAAACGTGTGATTACAAATTTAATTTCACAAGAATTAACAAACATTTAGTTATAACACCAAAGAAGTACGTAAATGTCCTCCAGGGCTTGTGTAATGATGATTTAAATTTGTTTTTTAGAGAGTTACATGTATAAAAAGCTATGATTTTTTAAAAATGATGCAAAACTACAATATACATTACCTTCCAGCCAAATAAGGATTTTTTTCTCCATCATTTCATCATCAAAATATCCTAGCGCATTCTTTTTTGTGACATAACATTATGCTAGAAAAAAAAATTTTTTTGGTGAAATAGATAATGCTTCAGAAAGACATATTAATTATGATATACATTTTACTGATGTTTGAAACATAATTAAATTTAAAAAATCGCAAATACTGTATACAGGGAAATGTTCGCCCCCGATTTATTTTTGCCCCTTTCGTCCTACCTTAATTTGGACGAATTTAAAACAGAGCGAAATTAAATATAATATAATTTACAGTATAATTTCTTGAATAAAACAATGACCGGGCGAATTTAAAATGGAGCAAAATTGTCTGCAAGTGTTAAAGGGCGAAAATTAAACGGGGCGAAAATAGCCTTGTATACAGTAGTGACACTCACACTACCCAACCTCCCAATCCTACAAGAAAAATGAAATTACAGTGGTCTGTTCAGTGCAGAAAGAATTTTAAATTTCTTCTTCCTCATAAATTGGCTTAGACACATTATTTGAGTAAATGGTTTTTTTTTTAATTTTAAGAATAAAATCATGAAGATGCTAGCGCATTTTACATCAAAACAGAATATTAGCTGAATACCTTTTTTGTCACTCCGTGTCCAGTAATGTATACAGAGTCAACAAATTTAACATAGCTGACATTTAAAAGAACTGAGCTCGTGCTAATGTTTACAAACACAGATATGAAGTCTTAAAGAATGTCCTTGTAGGTGAATTTGGAAGTTTTTTCAAGTAAATTAAATTCAGTTAACTGAATTCATATTTTGAATAAAAATTGAGATATGAATTTGTTTCTAAAAATTCGGCAAAGCAACTGTGTTTAGGTACCCATAAAAACAAGTCCACAATCATATCTTGAATCCTTTCAAATACTAAGTCATAGAATTGAATAATAATGATACTCTATTCAAAATTAAAGATATTTCTTCCAACGTTATGATTAAAATATATTTTTTTGAAATTATAATTTCAGAACCTTTCTAAACATTAACTGAAAGATTGAAAGGGTGTACTTTGTGTAATAAAAAAAAGTCAGTGATCAGGATTCATAACAGCTTCATTTAACTTAGAATCAGTTCTGCATTTGTAATCTGTGAAGGGGTCCTTTAACACATTTTTGCAATCAATTCCATAATTCCTTCTTTAGAGACCTTATGTTGGTCGTTATTTGGACTGGAATGCCTTAATTCCCAATGCGTGTCCTTTAATACTCGATGTTTAAGCCCCGTCACGAAGTTCATTAACTTAGCTTGTTAAGGGACACTAACAGTATGGCAGATTCGAATTATTGCGCAAATTTTAAACTACCAAGGATGGAATTTTTGTACAAGGAGGCTGAAAATACAATACCCCCTAATTATTGTTGAGTCAATTCAATTTTCTTCGAATGTCATTCAAGCAGAGGTTTCAAAGTATTTAAATACCATTCACGTTTCACGGAAGAAAATACTTTTCAAAACCATGTTTGTTTCAGTATGCCAAGAAAGATTTGAAGCGTTAAAAATAAGTAATACTGAGTATTAAATTAATAAACAACGACTTTTGTTTCCAAATATTTGTTTGCAAATATATACAGTAACTAGTATACCACATGTTACATCTTTACTCCTCACTAAGATATTAACAGCGGTGAAGGAGAAACTTCAAGTGTACTGTGCAACTATATATTTAAAAAGTGGTATAAATCAGATGTGGATATTTAATCATTCTAAGGAACCTTAAAACAATTTGAAACCACAAGATTTTAACAAAATCGTGAGCTTAATAATTTACGATTTTCAACTTTATACAGAACCATTCCCAACGATAAATAAAAGTCCAGGCTTTTAACATCATTGAAAGCTGCTTTTTTAAAAATAAAAATGGAACTCGTCATTTTACTCACCTTTATCATTAAATATTTGCAAAATTATTTTGTTAAACATATTTTGATTGTAAACACAAATACTCTGAAGTTTACATTAAAAAGATGCTTAAGTTTCTGATTCACAATATCTAGTATGTGGTTTTTGTAGACCATGTTTTCCAACAATGTTTTGGAATACCCATGGGTACCAATTGCGCTCTGTTTTAAGTTGATCTACTTTTAGATTAATATGAAGCAGAGTGTGTGCAAAATCTTATGCGTGAAATAAAGAAAACACCTGCTGTTGCCTGCAACTCGATATTTAGATATATCAACGTACTGTCAATTAATAATGGTAATTTCCATTCACATGTCAATACGATATCCTGGTGAGCGTGAGATAAAAAGATACACAGAGTCTGACACATCTTTCATATTAAGATACTTTATTTGCAAAAGCCCTTTAGTTAATGGTAATCTAACAACCATACTCAATGATAAAAGTGATGACTTTAACTTTTCAATCGTCAACTTCCCTTACAAAGCAGCAATATTCCATCATAACCTGCATACAGAGTTTACATATCACAGTTGATTCGATACGATAGAGCATCCTCTACATATGAACAATTTCGAAAACAAAGTAAAGCATTGACAGACAAGTTGATGAAACAAGATTATTACATTTTTACCCGTGATATACCGTAATTTATTCATTAAATAAAAAGATATCTCACATTGAAAGGATTAAATCATCATTTTGATGAATATCAGAAGTGCTGTTTCCCTTCCCATTTAAAAAAAAAACCTTCCTTACCTAATTATTAGATAAACCATTAGCGAATAAAACTGGAATTACAAAAATGTGTTGCTAAATCCATGTTTACAGTGTTTTCACTAATTTCGTTTTTGTTTTTTTTTTAATCATGACAAAGGAAAAATTCAAAGAATTTTATTTTAAAAATGCACACAGCGGGTGTGATCGGTCGGCAGATATTGTCATGTTCACTCGTGAAAATATCATGTCACCGTGAAATGAATTCCATACCTCTGTTGTATATATCAAAAGTCTCGTTTTAAATCATCATTTTGTAACTCCTACGGTCGGTACAATACCATTGTCGGCAAATACAATTTATCACATAGTCAAAGGCTGCCTGACATTTTTCATACTAATTATTAGTCCATTTTATGCTGATAACAACGAATAATGTGTGGCATCATGACAAAGTACAAAGCGGGTGTTGAAAATAATAATGCCTTTGTTTTAAGGTCTTTGTTCATAGCTCCCATTTACAGGAAAGGTTGATTTTATTATTCAATCACATTTTTTTGTTGATAACAACGTACATGTAAAGTGTGTCTATGAATTCAAATTGAAAATAATAATGCCTTTGTTTTAATTCATAGATTCATATTTTCAATAAAAAGCGTTCTATTAAGGGACTGTACACTTTAACAATAAAGCGAATGTTCTATGCAATACGAGCCATTAAGGCAATAAATATTTTTAAAAAATAATAATAATAAGACTTCCGCCAAGTTACAAAGTATACTTCCTGTCAGATTCTACGTTCATAGAATACGTAGTGGCTTCCTCCAATGAGGGAAATCCTTCTATATGTATCATTATCGCAAATAACAAGAGGAATTCAATTAACATTGGTGCCCATTACAATAAAGGAATAATGTATTGTCTACAAGTTTCTGTTCACTATTCTGGTAAAGAATCCTCTGTATAGAGGCTTAATATGAATGACTACAATAAACCTTCCTCTGGACATTTTACTCCTTCTCTTTATTGTCCTTTATTGGGTACTATTAACACGACTCCTTATTGATTATTTCAGAAAGGTTCTTTTCCCGATGTAAATTTTTGCTACTAATATTTACCCCTTGATACATTTATTTTAGTTTCATCCTTACAGCGTGTTAGTAGATAGAGCAATTCTATACAAGATTTCATTACACTAGCGTAATTACTGCTATAAGGATATTCAGAGACCAAATATTTGTAAATTTTTATCGAATTTCTGTGTTTCCTTCTACAAATACCATTAGAACCTTCACAATTGTATGATACTGTAATGGTAAAAAAGTGCTTTCATTTCTTCCTCTGTGGGTGCCTGGGGGAAAGTATGTACTTTTTAGGACATTCGTACTTTTGAAATCAGCATAAGTGTTCGGCAATTATAGATAAGTAATCAAGTGAAAATACAATTTATTTAAGATATTCAAAGGATTACGATCAACATATCCCCGAGCATAAAGTAGATGTTCAACGACATAGTGAGTAGAAAAGAATTTTATTCCACTTAAAAGATACGGAAACAAACGCGTTTTACTTTCCCCTATAAGTACGCAAAGTAGCTTGTCAAGTTTCTAGATGTCACTAAGAGAAGACTGATTAACAACAAGTCTGCATTCCCATTGATGACACTTGAAAGGCATTAGAAGCCAAAGTGAATTATTTTCTCTGATATGTAGTCAGATATTGGATAAAACCTCAACTGCTTCAACATTTAGTAGGGAGTATCATTTAAATGACTACATGGGGAGTTTATTGGAGTAAAAATAATTCAGTCATCAGAAAATGAAGAAATTGGAACAAGTATTTGAATTGAGCTTGATTTTTGTATATGTACTTCATACGAAAGCCCTTTTAATCTTACATCTGATGAAATTTAGAATTTATAAGGCGTCAATATTAACAATGGATGTTTCTGAGGTATGAGCGTTAACGAATTCACAGTGGGTTTAAATATTGAGAATGTTCAATATTTAGATATATAGCTCATTGCCATCATCTGTTGTGTTGAGATGGATATCCGATCCTTGCTTCTGGATGTTGTTATTTGTATCGACCTTTCGTTAGCCGTAAGTATATCATTCATCATTCTCTTCTTATACCCTAACGAAAAGATTTTATTACTTAACAAAAATATCAAATTTTTACTTAAAGTAGTTTTCACTTTAGTTTTACAGTGCATTTTTTACTGAGAATTTCACATTTTTATAATTTATGTTATCTTATTTATCTATGCATATTTTAATTGATTAATTTTTTAGTAGAAATGGTACAAATTTTAAATCGTTGGTATTAGCTTAGGAGAGATTCAGCTGGGAATCTCAAGAAAAGTTCTACTATAAAGTTTTTTTTTATTATTTTAAATCAAAGAATCAAAGTATATACTTTAAGTTATATTGAAAATTGTACCTAAGAAACAATTTTTGATCAAAATACATTAGATATTTTAAAGAAAACTACACTAAAACATTAATTATCTAGTATAAAACTGAATGATAAGTTTAGATTATGAGAATGCATCAAATAACTGTTTCAATCTAGAAGCAATTGCATGTACAAGATACAGCATATAAGAATTCCTAAATATCAAGTTAAAACTCATACTTTGTATTACCATATGCTTACGCTAAGTTTCATAATTAAGCACTTATCATGCATTTCCAAAATAAAAGCAATTTATATAATTCTGCAAAAAAACAAATGTCTTGAGGATTTTATTTGATATAATTTTGATAGCTTTAATTTATTAGTAATTTGAACATCTGATTATCAAGGTCAGATAACCTTAAATTGAGTCTAAACTTTTAATTAATTATTGAAAAAAAAACTTCATCTTGAACGCAAATATGAATAGTGGCAAAACATAAGTGAACGAAAATGTCTAATACAATATAATGACTAGTGTATGACTGTTAATGAATTTTTTTACGAAATAAAACATTAATATATTTCTCATCATGTGTTTTGTTTCTATATTAAAAACTAATATCTACTTAAAACACGATTTAAATCAAATTTAAAAATTATTTCCAAAACAAGTGTTATCTTTTCTTTGGGAGGGTATATAGTGATTGGGATGTCCATAGGTCCATTCATAAAATCTTTGTTACATACTGGCATTGTCACCTCTTTTTTTACTTTTTGATCTGGCATTTTGACTCTGCCATTTTTTCTATAATATTGATGAGTATCAATCTCTTCTTCAAAACTTCTTCTATACCACTGTATAAAATCAAATGATATCCTCAGATTCTTTGTGATATAGTGCCATTATGCACGTTTTATTTTTAATTTTTGATCTGTCACTTATTTCGGGTTTCGCATAGCAAAAAATGGACTTTGGGATTAAAAATAAATGGGTGGTATGTATTATTTAGTGAGCACATTGCTCATAGTATCTAGTAGTATGTTTAAATAGCCTCATTGATTACAACCAAAGGACAATAATTTAAGAAGGATATTTTCTAATACAATAAAATCTTTATTAATACTGTTTTATTGGAAAATATAAGCCCTGCGTTTGAAATAAGACATCAATGTCATAAGAGATCCATTCGAACGACATTAGGAAAATCCTATTCAGTTTATGGCTATGAATACTTTCATCCATCGTAAGCATTGGGTTTTCCAAATTCCTGAAAACGAAACGTTATGGATACACAATGGCGAGGTGTTTTAATCTGATTATGTAATAAGGAGAGAAAATAGAGAAACAGAAAATCAAATATTCATTCCATCATACGAAACAAATTATATTCTGATTTTTCTTCAAGTAAAAGACGTCAAAGAAACAAATAGAGCGCTCCATAATATACCAGTTTTAACATAGGCATGTCTTTATGAAGAGAGAAAAGGTCCAGTAAAGCAGCAGTGAGACTGTTTATGGGCTTTGGAATCAGTGATACATGTATATAAATATTTCTTTTAAAGCTTCCTGTCTGAGCTAAACGAGAAACAAGGATGGTCTCGCGACAACATACCCATAAATCTGCTTCTCAGATTTCTAGATTTGTCATGTAATGACCCAGCTAAAATGTACACGATTCTATGCATGGTAAATTAAATCAATTTAGGTGGCAGTTACATGTTTGCTGTGTTAATAAAATAGATTTCTTGGTGTCTACCACTTACCATTAATCACCTCTAATCTCTCCAAATCAACAGACGAACTGAAGCCAGATGAATTTTTGATCAAGTTTTAAAAGCCAACTACTACATGTAGTTAAAAAACATAAATTTCTTATCTTTCTTTACATACCATGATTCCATAAGTTAACTAAGTTCCTCCAAACTACAAAATTCAGATTATTTTAACAACGATCTCTTAGGTTTATGTTGTACAAATTAATCTATTGTGCGATCTTATTGATGTATTCATAACTTCAACATAATCAGAAGAAAGCAGTTGCTTCGGTCTTCAACCCGACAGTCTGAAATCTCGACAAAGTTTTATCAATTAGCAGTAGTTATTCAAATCATGTGTGGATTTGATGTTGCCCAGTAAAAGACACTACAACGTCTGACACTTTTGTTTCTTGTATGTATTTGGAGGATTTGCTGGCTATGGTGATAAGTACCAACTTGCCAATAAACGCCATAATAAAAGATATTGCCGCAGCCTTTTGATCATGATTTTTGTTCTATCTTATGAAGCAATTTTCCGACACACCTGCATTTTGTGTTTTTGTCTCCCAGTTTATGGGATACTTAAGAGCAAAATCTGAGTGCAATCAGACAGGCTAGTGACACTTAAGTTGATATTTCAAAAAGTTTGATTGTGTCGGGAGCAACACAGTAAAACAGCTCATGGAGAAGCCTGGGGAGCACACAGCGGTTGTGATCGGTCGGCAGGAGATGGTCACTCCTTCATGGCACTTGGAGGTCCGTGTTTGCTCCTCTCTTATTTTGTACTGTTTTATGGACTTTTGAGCTCGAATACTTTTCGATATCTCTACATTTTATTAATTTTCATTTTTAATAGTGAGCAATCTTGATTTTCTTTACCTTTTTCAGTCTTTGTCATGGTGTTTTAGGACATGAAATATATATTTACATATGTATCTACCTTCACTATTGCTGGTTGATAGTGTTTAATGATTTTTTTTCTATGCACTTTGAAAAATTTGATATCCATCTTTAGCGCCATCCTATCCCCTGGGTCCAACGTTGCACCAAAAATATTGATCAATACGGCTAAACAATGCACACATTTAATTATGATTTATTACATCTGTGTGAATTTATTTTTTTTTCTAAGTTTACACTTTATACCCTTTTAATTTACGTTTTTGTTCTGTCCCTCACTGTGACCCAAATTCTTGTCCGGAGGACCACGATACACATAAACATGTACTTACATATGAATATTACTTGATGTGACGCTGTTGTTCATGAGAAAAGTGATATAAAGACTTGCTTTATACAGTGTATTTCCTAATACCTTTGATACTTTCGTAGCCCCATCCGATCTCCAATTTCCATGATTTGAACAGACTTGTGTTTTAACTACCTGTATCAAGGCTGTGTCCAAAAGCACCCTCCATGATGAGTGAATTCAAATTCGACTGAATTATTACTTATACCTTTTCATATACATTTTGTTTGAGAAATAATTTTTTGACTAAAGAATCGAAATAAACATTACGTACAACAACGGGACAAAGCTTACTCGAGTTTGTGTTTTTGCCCGTGGACCTTTTGTTTACAATATAATACCATACAAAATTCCGATCTCCTACAATGGTCCTATTGTAACCATGCACATAATTAAGTCCTTATTTAAAAAGATTTCATTTTAAACATCTAGAGGGTGCTTATGTTTCAAAAGACTCATCTATATGCCGTTCTTCTCTAAAGATAAGTTCCAATTTGATTAATTCTCATAAAAATGGATCTTTTCCCCTGGCCTACTCCTCACGTAAAAGACTTTATTATTTTCATAGATTAACATTAAATCTGTCTCAGTAATGTTTCAAAGAATGTAGGACATATCTTAATTAGAACTAGACCGCAACATTAAGTGCTTCTGCCTTGCAATATAATGCGACACAATTTTTACTCATTATGGTCTCTCGTGTCGAATAGATCTTTCCCATCGATTTAGTTTTTAAGTGTTCTGTGAATTTAATTTCTCTGAATAACGTTTAACGAGCGTTTACTTTTGATACGGGTCGTGAGATTCTGCTGCAGATTGGATCTCATAAATCCATCATGGCCGCTAAACAACCAGTCATGTTCTCTTTCTACATTTGCCTCGGGATCGTTAAACGCATTGAGCAGCCATGATTACATCAGTGGTTGCGCTTCATAACATGATAATAGAAATTAAATTGCTCAAAACACTGGATTTTATTTCATTATGTACAAGACTGGCTATGATCTTCGTAGCAGGAAAGTCATTATTACGTAATACAACATTTTTTATGAATGCAAAAGATTAATAATGACATTAAGACTTCTTTTGAAATTTCATACCATTTTCTATTACACAGGCATTCATATCATTCTCCAATGTTAATTGAATTTGTTATGTTTTGTGACAAAATCGTGATTTATGTGAACAAAAAGCATAATATTATTCCAGAGTATTTAGGAATCTGAAATAAAAGATAACACAGAGTCTGACACATCTGTTTCATATTCAAATACTTGAACTACAAGAAGAAGGCGTTAATTGTTATCTTACAACCAAGCTTTGTGATAAACACAATGACTTGAACTTTTCAATCGTAAACTTCCTTACTTGCGCAGCAATATACCTTTGTCACATGCATAACACGTTTATTTATCCAACTTTTTTTTACACCTTTACCCATTGGATAATTTTTATACCCCAAAGTTAGGTGCAGTTGTGTCGTCACAACGTTAACGGTGTTTGCGTTAGCGTGATGATGTAAAATAAAGTGGAGTTCTGAATAAAATAGTGTAAAAACATTTGGTTGTGAAATATCAAATAAGATAAATGGAATCTCCCATGATTTGAAGTTGGATATTACTTTTATCTAACTCGTTTTGCGTTTTTATCCCCTCGCCAACGCTCGGGGATACAAAAGTAGAGTTTAACAAATTAAATACACCTGTGAAATGTAAACAGGGCACGAGCTCTTTTGTTGTAAATGTTTACGTAATGTAAAAAAAATTATTATATTTTTGTAAGAAATGCTAAAGCAAATGATATGTCATTAAATTATACAGCAAATTTGAAAAAAAAATATTAACATCAAATCTGTGTCTAAGCACATTTGCTCTGATAGTTCTGAAAAAACCCCTAATTCTTAAAGGTCTAAATATAGTTTTTTTTAAATGTTTAGAGTATCTCTCTCCTTTACATTTTGCTAACATATGATATTCTTCAAAGTACAGTGCAGCAATTAATTCAATTTCAAGCAAAATTTCATGTTCACGAACATTCATTTCAAATTGGAACAATGCTGATTAAATGTAATCTTTGCTTCAAATTATATCGATTCAAGACAATTATTTTGGAATTTTCATGCGAAAAGAACATGAATCAAAGGTTCTAATACGGCAGTTTATCAAAATAACTCTCAAAGTGACTTCAGCACAAATTATCGTAACAAAGAGATGGCACTTTTCTTTGAAAATTCCAAGTCATTAGTGTCATATCCCATGCTCTGGGGATCTGCATTAATCATATTGCTTTTTCTTCAACAACAATCTTAAGACTGCTTAACTGATAACTGAAAATCTTAGTGATCCAGCTTTACTTATGAACTGTATTCTTAGGCAGGATTAAATAACTTTTAACCTGTTCCTGAGAGACTAATATAACGCCTTAGTCTAAGACAAAAGTCTAGCTTTTCAATCTGAAGAGGAAGGATTTGAAAGTAAATCAAACTCTAGTCTAGATTGCTTATAAGTAAAACCTTTAAAAATGTGATTTAAAAAAATCAAGACTTTAGTACGTTTTAGCGTAAATTGATTTTAAAAAATATGAAAGGGAATGTAAAATAATAATAATTTTAAAAAAATTAGCTTTTATTTTATTTACAAATAAAAGATTTTTTTAATTGTTTGTCTATTCTAGAATCTATTTCGTAGCAAGATTTACAGTGTACTATATAAAATTTTCTCAATTTTAATTAAAATCAAATGATGCAAAGTTTGGAACTGTCACATTTACGGTGTTATATTGTCTATTTGTATTTTAAATTTACTTTGATTATTGTTCTAACTTTGTTCCGTAGTTTCTCTCAGTTATCCTATTCTGGACCTCTTACTCAAGCACCCTTTTTGGTACCTCTCCACGACCTGTATTTTTTCACCTGAGTTTAGGCTTCCGCCCTTCTTAAAACCGACTTACCGAGATATAGCTGTACATGTACGAGCTCTGACTGTCCAATTTTATACATGTACTGTCAAAGTTTTGTAAAGTTAAAATACTTTAAGATGTTAACACAGACACTGACTTCTGGGGTCACGTTCTATGTTTCACGTAGTACGTTACGTCCTGTGTTCTGTGTTTTATGGTGTATGGTGTAAAGGTTATGGTTACAGCGGAGCCGGAATATATTATGTACAGTTGATGTAATCTAGATAAATGTGAAAACGCTTTTGACTTTTGTTATTTTACTACAATAATGAAGAGCCCGCAATAATTTTACATTTAGTAAAATAAATGCTATTTTCAGGACTTTTTGTCTTTAATATTTAAAGCAAAGTTGATAAATGCACATCTCTATAGATGATTCCGAATTTTTTTTTTATTGATAGCAACTCTGTTTTACAGGTCTGGGATAATACAGAGCCAAAATCCATCGAAGGGCCCTGCTGTAATGGGACCCTGGCCTACGCTGCACCACCCACAATTCCCTGTTCTTCCTTCCGGTGTTGTCATTCATTTGAAGACGTAGCTGTATATCCGGTCAATCATGCGTTTGGTTATGTGTTCAGATGCATGGTAGGTTTGAATAATTGAGATTAATTTAGCATTTCAAGGTTTACATATAATTCATCTTCCTGCAATTGAATTGTCCAATCGGTAAATCTTTAAAAGGATTCAATATTTATATGGATTGAGTAAACTACATCTCAATTCCTTTCTGGAAATACGTACAACACAATCACTTGTCTTTGTTGGATAAGATTCAAATGGTTTATGGAAAGATATACTATGTTTTTGAGATTTTGTTTTCAAAGAAGTGATTTTTTTTTTAAAAATAACTTTAAACGTTTTATATAAAACACGATTTTCGTTCGTCTTTTCATAATATTGAAACAGCAACAGTTTTACATTAAGCATACAATAAATATACATTTGAATGACAACGATAATCATCAGGAGATATATTTATTGCTTGTTAACTATTTTTTTTTATTTTTTATGTATTATTTTAACAGCCAAAGAATGAAATTTCCTCAAGGTGCTTTACAGATAAAGAAAAGGTTCAGCCAAGTCCAGAAAATGGAGCAATCGAGTACAAGCCAAAGCGGTGCTGTGATGGACTTAAATTTCATTTGAATTTCAATAACAGCAATACGCCTCTGCTCATAACATGTATCAAACGTTAGCAATTAATAAATCATAGATGCTTTTTATACCATTTTATATCATTTTATATGTTTAAAAAAAGTTTCAAAAACATGTCAGGTTTTTCATTCTTAATCAGTATTCATGAAGTCAGCTGTATCCCTTTCTATGTTACTAAAGTCTGCACTAAATAATCCTAAGTAATTAACCATGCATCTTTTATTCATTTGATTTGACTTTGAGGTAAATAATATGCCTTTTTCAAGTTTGATACCATTAAACGCACAAGGATTTTCTTCTAATTATTTTCTTTGAAATCCTATCTTCATTGATTTCGCCATTTTTCAATTATCATCTTGTTTCATTGAATTGTATTTTTTATTGATTCATCAAAGACATAAGAATAAAACAGGCCTATGCTGATGCATTATTTATTTAAATATACTCATAGAGTCCTTAAAGACTTTTTCTCCATCTAAATACTGAAGAGTTCACAATTCCTTACAGAGTTTTATCCCCTGTAGGCCGAAGAGTTGAATCCATCAAAGAACACTTTCTTGCTGTATCGTTTGTTGTCCCTTAAATCTGGAATTGACTCTTGGTGATTTTCGTGGTACCTGAAATTATTTAATACTTAAAATATATAAACATTTAATCCTTGTTAAATAAGAATCTCCTATTCCAGATGTTTTCTTTTCTAGACGAATTTTGTGAGGAAAAGATACATTTTCATCTCTACTTTTCTATGGCTTTAAAGAGTATATTGTAGTAATTTTATGGATGCTTTGTTTCAAAATGCAAATAGATTTGACAGTTATATATAGATTTGCAAAGTGGTATATTCTTTATTTTTGGATCCTTATCTAAAATGACCTAATGATCATTTTTCTCTTTTCAATAAATAGAATTACAACTTGGACTTATAATTTTAACAGGGAAACCCATTATCTAATCTTTTTACCATGTTCAATTAAAAGCTTTTACCATGTTCTTTGGAAATTTAGGATTAACTTTACGGTAATAACCAATATGCCCCCCAAAGCAAATTGATTTCTAGTTTTGGAAATGTCAGTTGAGTAACTTTAAATTTCAGTTTTTTTATGAATTTTACAGAAAAATGTAAACAAATTTTATTTAACCATGTGTGTTGATATGATTGTGGAATGATATATTGAACTATGTCAATATTCTCCTGAACAAACACATCTATAAATTTTCTAAAAAAATGTTATCCATTTTGTCCTCTTTCTGAAAAAGAATATAATGCATCATATTTTAAAACAAAAATTGTGAATACACTGCTTTGACACTATAATATTTTCTGTAATTTATATTTCTTACAATTTATTGAATTCAGCACATTTCAGGAAGTTTTCAAAACACGCAAATATATGCAATATACCGCATATAGTTCTTTTATTTAACCTGATATAATTGTGAACTGATATTTACTTTTTGCCTGATGAGAGGCATAGTCACGTTTGTGTGTATTTCAGATACTTCTCTTTAAATGACAACTAGGCATATCTATCGTCTATTTACCCCTATTCTTTATTCCCTATTTCCTTTGCTAGTCTCTGATTTTAATGCCACAATATAATACAACTCAAAAACAGAGCGATGCTTAAATGTCAATATATTCTCCACCCGTTAATGTAACTTGATACTTAGAATTAACTATCGTGGTGGTATTTTCAAACACCCTAATAAACTGCAATTAGTTCTCCATGCTTCTAAAGGCATTCGGAATAATTCGTATTGATTTTATAACTTATTAACAATGAAGATGATCGAGCATTGTAAGATAATGCTCACACATATGATTTCTCCATTAACACGAAAACACGAAACACCGTCCCGAGAGATTTCGAAACGCAAACGTCACCCTTTGTAAAGGTCACATGATTTAATGTCTAGCATCAGTCTATTTCAAACACTCTTCAGCTCAGATCGCAACCGCATCTGTGAGTGACGAAGTGATTAGTCTCGAAAAGGCGACAATGTTTGAAAATGTAACAAGATAAAAAGACCTCAGAGATTCCACTTCACAACATCGTAATTCAACTGCAGTACATACAATAATGGGAATTTTTAGACTCGGTTAAATCCAACAAAAAAAAGACAATTTGATATCTCTCGGCAAGTGTAAACGAAGATAGCTTCTGAGGTATATACGAGCTCGAGGGAATCTAATTCTTATAGATTTTTCCTTAACAGTGATTTCCCTACAGACATGTATCAAGTTTCCATTTCTAGAAATAAAAATTGTTCTGAACGCAGTCGCTATTTGAAATATTAATTATAGATATGTAAGAAGGGCATTTGAGGTATAAAGCGCGCATTTAGTTGACATGCAGGGCCGCTTAGGGAATATACAAGACTGTCTTGTGAAGATCTTGCACAATCAATTATACTGTCCTGAAAGTAAATATTGAAATCATTATGCGACATTTATGGGACCTTAGTGTGTTTTGTTTGGCAAACGGAATGAATCATTCAGCAAATCTCTTTTTCAGTCGATTTGTTTTGAAAGCATAAAATGTTTTGCAATGTTTTAACTCCAGTGGGCGAACACCAGTAGTAAGGTGTCTGTCATCCATACTTCTGGCTCTCCGCCTGCATGCCTCAAAAGTTTTTACCAGGAAACAGCTATTTTTTAATGCATTTCGAAAAGTAAACTTGAAAATTCAGAATTGATTTGAATTTTTTTTTTTTTTTTTTTTTTTTTTAAATATTTTTAAGCTACCTAACGACACACATTTTTCATCTTGATTTCTGAAAAATTCTTATAAAAGGCTATTTTTCATTCTCAATAAAGCTAATACACAAATACACGTACGCAATACTTAGATATGATTATTCCTATTTGTTGGTTTTCGATTTCAAGATCTAAAAATGATTGTTTTTTTTAATATTTCAAAGATTTTTAAACAATCAGGCATGGAGATGAATTTTCTAGATATATGACCAAATACTTGATAAGATATCTCTCTCTCTCTCTCTCTCCAATTTTCTGTCTTTTTTGGAAATCTTAAAAATTCTCCTTCACTCTGTAATTTAGATATTGGCAAACTTTGAATGTTTTCTTTCCATTGATTGCTATTTCTATTTTTTTTATAATAATATTTATTAAAATATCTTTAGCATAAAGTAATTTCTGATATTTTTATAGCTGAAACTATTTTTTTTATATGATATTTATTAAAATATCTTTAGCTTAAAGTAATTTCTGATATTTTTATAGCTAACACTTTATACCTCAAATCTCCGATTTGGGGCATAAAATGATTTGCTCTATCTAAGATTGAATTTTTGTGAAAGGCTTTGTGTTGTATAGTATATTTACAAGACCTATCAACTCATTTAGATATATAAAAACACAAAAATAAGTTAACCAAAGCTCTTAGTGGAACAAGTGCCATACCACGATATACCAACCTAGATTTCTTCCTGCAAAATTAGAATTAATGCAACAGAGAAGATTTTATTTTTCAAATCAACTTACCTTTTCTGTAGATCAGATTGTCCTTTCAGTGTTAGCTTTTCTGAGGCTGCCGAATCTAACCACTGATTGATGGTGCAGGGAAGATCACTTCGAGTGAAAAGAGGAATTGTTCTCGGAATTCCCGGAACTTTTGCTTCCATCATATTCATTTCCTCTTTTACAGCTTTCATTTCCGGTACGAGTTTGGTGGGAATCAAAGGACGCTCGTGCTTTTTTATTGGATGAGAGATTTTCTTTACTTTTTCTTTATTTGTTGGGAAATCTAAATCTACATTTGACAGATCTTCATTGTGTAATGCTGATGGCAACTGATAGTTGTAAATGGCGGAAGTCAGAAAATGATAGTTTTGATTTCTGTCCATATCTCTGGCTTTCATAGTGCTTCCATCACGCAAATTCTTTGGAGGAATAGGTACGGTGTATGGATATTCATAGGTAGACACTCCTGGCTTTGAATTATCGGTATTCCCAAAATACGTGCAAAAGGCTTCAGGGCCAGAACAGTCGGCCTCGTTTTCAAATCGAGGCCAGTTTTCAGGATTGATGATTGCCTCGTAATCTTGCCGTGGAGTTGGTTTGACCTCTAGATTATACCCTATGTCATCAGCAAACCTTACCCGTTTTGGTTTTCTCGCTTCACACACTGAACGAGAATTTCCGAGATTCTCTGTTCCTGCAATTTCCGGGTAAATGCTTTTATACCGAGAGCTGCAGTATAACTTTCTTTGCATTTGGTCAATTGCCTCTCTAGTGGGCTCTTCAAGAACAAAATTTCCTGAAAATGTGGGGGGAAAAACTCTTTAACTTTCTGTATCTGTCAACGTCAATATCCCAACAACTTCTACAAGTATAGAGCTACTTGTATCAAGGTAAACAAGAAAACATTGTTGTAACCAGCAATTGTCGCCCGGGAAATATATAAAGTAAACAATGAAAATGAGTCTTGATCATCAAACCGCTTCGATATGAGTGAAAAGGCATGCGTCTAATTGATGGATATGATATGTTACTTAAAGTCGGATAAAAATTATTAAAAAACGATACCATTTTGAATTATAATTATAAATTTGGCTTTATAAAGTATAAATTCAAAAGTTAGACACACGCATCACCTATATTTAAAAATGTATTATTTTTCAATTTTTAATATAAAACACGAACTGTGCAGAGTACGTTTTTATCCGAGAAGTAAAATTTAATGTTCTAAAAAAAGGGATCTGTCATTTTTTCGAAGAAAATGAAAGCAACTATATATATTAAATATGAAAAACGTATATATTTTTACAGATTCACTTTATGGAAGTAATTATATTATGTATCTCGTAATTTACAAAAAAAGAACATTCTGATTAACAGTCTTTTCAATGTTTAGAAAACCTTTAATTCTTTATAACATTTGAATTATTTCACACTTAAACTTATATTTATGGCATTTTGGGCTGCAATAAGTGATTGTAAATACAGCTTAATTTGATATAATTATGCATGATGTATTCATTTATAGTATATACTTTAAAGACGTTTCCAAGGAAGGATACAATTATTTTTTAAAAGAAAAAAATCGTATATTTTTATTGTCTGGTGTAGAACAAATGGAAGGATCGGAGCGGATCAGAAAATCTTGGCTTGCGGACACCTTGCAAATGCATCATAGAAAACTATCATTTTTGTCTGTTAACAAAATTAATAAGAATAATGCAACATGGTTTCTTCTTTATAAACCTAGGTTTGAAGATAAAGTAAAAAGTATTTACTTATACATTATAATTCAGAAATCTCTAGATATTTATGAACTTTAGTTAAAAAAAAACAACAACATTCAGACACAATACCTTCTTCATCTGTTCGTGCTGTGAGATTCTGTGGAAACACTTCAAATGTGGCCTTCCTAGCTTTACTGCTGGTTCGGTAAGTTTTTGTGTCCCCAACCACGCTGAAAAAATATGCAGAGACATATGTTGTTCAGTCAAGAAATCATTAATATTTAGAGTTGTCTCGCTTTCCACGTAGAATTACTAACCTGCAGTCCACATCAGTAGGTTTCGGAATCCTGTGTAAAGAAAAATGAATTAGATATATAAACAAATAAACAAAAAAAATAATAATAAAGAAAGTGTGTCACTTTGGTTTTTTTAAATTTCATTTTACTAAAAATAAAAAGATATTTGTAACTGCAAAGGATTTCAAAAAAGACAATTCTAAGAAAACATGTTAAAAAAAATAGATTTTTAAACTAAGTAGAATTCTTTTAATCATGCAATATTGATATTAAAGATAACTCAGCTATGATTTTAAAAATATTAAACCCACTTACATGTGACCATCGAACTTCTCACTAGAGTTGCCCTCTGCTGGCATCTGATGACAGCAGTCGAAGTTATTTCGACTATAAATAAAATACAGTTTACATTTCGTGTAATAAGAATAGTATTGGTAAAAGATGTGGAAAAATCTAGGAATTAAATGTGATTTTGCTTTAATTTTCCAGCACTACGTTTATAGTTTTTCATATCACTTATTTTTTTACATAACCCTAAACATTTCATTTACTTAATTTTTGAATGTAATACATGTATTTTTATATATTTATTTGTTTATGCATTTCCTAAATACATTTTTTTTTTTTTTTTCATTTATTTATTTAAAAAGTGATTTTTTAAAATATAAACAACTACTGAGATGTATACGCCGCATTAATAATTAATTATTGAATATAAAGGGAGACAGGCTTCTTCAATTAGAATTTTCAAAGCAACATTCATGAACCGCCAGACATTGTTTACAATTACTCGGTACACCAACAAAGATTTTTTAAGTTTTATTATATAAACAATCTATAAAATTTCTTCCAAAATGTACATAAAATAAAGATCTTAATTTACTTTCAACATTAATTCAATACGATATGAAAAGCAAAGCACATTTTAATGAGTGTATGCCTTCCTTTCACATTAAAGCAATCGAGTTGTGATATTTGTTAGAACTGAATTCATTGACGTTTCTGGCAATAATTAAGAGTGTACTATTTAAAGAATAATAAGGGTTAATTGACCTTTTCCTTGTTAATTCTTATTCTTTGATGCATGTTAAATGAATTAACTATGGAGAGAGAGAAAAAAAAAATAAATTCTACAAGTGGAAGGGAAGTGTTTATAACAAGTGGCCAGGTTTTTAAAACAGTTATTAAAACGTCAAATATTCATTTCGTTTCGATATCTTGCACCTGAAAGCAATAACATAAGCGTATGTGTATTGCCAGTTGTTCGCAAGTACACCAACAAAGATTATGAAATTATATTTTATAATTTAAACAATATAAAATATCTTGCAAAATGTGCACTAACAACAAACATCAGCGTTATCACTTTTCTAAGCTCCTTATTTTTGTACAAGCTCTAAGATAACATATTAACGCATTTATAACAATTATTGGCTCCAACAGCAGAACGATATACATGTCAGACAAAACAGAAAAATATAGTTATGTCTACATTTATTTAAATAAATTTAACTACTGATCTGATTTTTGGCAATTTGTTAATAAAAATTTGAGCTGTTTATCGCATTTTTAATGTAAAAAACATAAACTTTAGAAAACTCCCTTTTTGGAAACATTGCAATACCAATGAACAACATCAATGACCATTATATAATACAGTACTTGTAACATGTAGGTTGATCGATTCGAAAGCCAAAAGGGAATTAAATAGGCCTAGTGTACGACTAATCATTTACAATCCGATGACTAATAATTACATTTGTGTTACATGTATATATAGAAAATTTGGAGAGGCCATAAAAAATTGAAAAGTCAGAATAGATATAGACGACTAATAATTTACTTATAATTAACTAATTATTATTACAACAAATAATTGGCCATCTAACATGATACATTAATTAGGCGTAAATGTTATCTCTATCTCTCTCACTCTCTCTCTCTCTATCTTTTTTCTCTCTCTCTTCTCTCTCTGTTATAAATTTCAAAATTCAAATAGATTTTTTAAAGAAATCTTATAATTTTCTCTCCGGAATTTATTGATGACAAGAAAAAGATTATGAAGTTTACTATGATTTTTTTTTCTTCAAAACAATTACAAGTATCATATGAATGTGAAGGATTACAATAAATTATGTCTAAATCATCTATCTTAACCGCGTTTCAATAATGCTCGTATACATATGAACTATTTATAATATTGATCTTGAACTAAGCCTATTATTATTTAAGGTTGTTGTTTTATAGCTATTATTTATAAAAATTATTATTAAAAATAGATGTAGCTTCTGTTAAGTCATAACATGCTTCTCTAAATTGAAGAGGCTATAAAATCTATTTTTGGATCCACAGATTTACAAAACAACATTGTATGGTCTAATTTATGGTAACCATTAATAGACACTGTATTTAAAAGAAAGCGTTTTCTAGGTACTAAATGTACATTATATACATGTATGTAAGTTACTTTCCGTTCAATCTCATTTTCATCTCCTTAAAAGTTTCTTTGTTCTTTAATCATATTTTAAAAGTGATTTTATAAATAAGTAAAACATAGAATGGATGAAGTTGGAATCATAAAAAAAATAAACTTACCGAGAAGGATTCATCTTGTTGCGATTATGACGTCACAGTTCGAATAGCTTTACTTACTGTGACGTCATTGACTAAGACTTTCAGTGACGTCATGCTCTTCATGAAGCTTGCGTTTTGACATTGAGTTGTCATTTATTTTTCAGACAAGAACAAGGTAAAACAAAAAAGTCTAGGCCAAAATAAAAAATACCTTTGTTTCCCCTAACGCGACCGACCCAATTAAATCGCGCCGACTGAGAATATATTTTAAAAAAGATGATTCAAAATTTTTTTTTATTGTCAACCAAGTTTTATAAAATACAATTTCATCAAAATCAATTTTTAACAGAACGGTCGACATTGTTCTAGGTACTGTGATTTTCAAGGATTTGTTGGAAATGAGATGGCGCCCAGTTGTGATTAATTAAAGAGAATTAGTTCTTCATAAAACAACGGCGACGTCTCAATCTTATGCCTTTAGCTAACTAGAATTCTTCACTCTTGAAACAATTTGAAAATAAAATTTACAATGACTAATTTAGAGTGTTTCGGAGGTGTCTTGGCGTCTCCATGTGAGTAAATAAATTTTCGAAAGGGACGGTAAACAACAAATAAACAAATCTGTCTGTTGAATTTTAGGTACGTAATACATGGAAAGGCCAGCCTCATGAACAGATGAGGGGCCCACCTAGTGAACACATCATTCAATTTCACTGTATTTTATTTAATTTGAGTTTTGATCTAATAACCAGTTCATCTATGTTCCTATGTTTACTATATGCCATTATGGAATCATAGGAGTTGTTGTAAATATGTCTGCATACTTTCATCCTGATAAATATAATTCAGTTGTCCTTTTTCATGCCTTTATTTGCGGGTTAAACTTTGAGACTATGACATTGTTTATAGCATGATTTGGTTTGGTTCATTTAAATATTGTTTACATAGTTACTCTTTCCAAATAGTTTTGAAATCATTTAAATTCAGCTTCCTGAGACGTCCGGTGTATTTTTCTTTAATAAGGTCCTTAAAGATTGGTTGTTTCTTTGCTTATTCTTTCCCTTCGAGATTTTTTGGGACGACATTTGAACATTTCCCCATTGCTCCAAATTTAGACGTACTACGCACTTTTTTGCCATTAAGCAGTGACGGATCTTTTTTGAGCCAGCATCTTCCGCGAAACTGGACATAGGTTTTTATGTTCCATTAATTTTGAAGGACCGTCTTCAACGTGCCTCATTGGTATTTTAAACTGCGACTTAAAATTAGCAACTTCCATCTTAACTTCAAAGCAAAATGCTCCAGAATCACTGTAAATCTCACGGCCCTAAAAAAAGTACATTGATTGTCTATAAGCACTTGAGGCTGATTGAAGGTTTGAAAAAATATACTCTGATGTCCAGTCTTTGCGTATTTGAGAATCTTGCCAGTTATTCAATTTATATAAATGTACTTTGGCGTGAGATATTTCACAAGCTCAACTAAATTACAGCTGTGAATTAAATAATCATTAATTTTGCTTTTAAACGGCATATGTATGATACCAGTACTTAGCATTTTGTTCACACATCAATTTCTTTTGTACTTTCTTATTTATAAATGTAATTTTCCATTGAATTTTAAAATGTATTTTCAAAGCTGCTATCAGAAAATAAAATTGTTTTTACAACTTGAGAATTTAGGGTCGGGTTAGGGGAAACAAAAATATTTTTAATTCCGGCCCTACATTAAAATATTTTTTTCTCAATACTTTAGTAATAAATTATGCGTTTTCACTGTTTCACTTAGAATTTCATTGTTTTTACTACACTTACAAAAAAACTTTACTCATTAGTTCTACGAAATTATATATTTCCCTATTGATAGTATTTATACCCTCCTTTTAAATTTTAATTAAAAAATATCAATCTTTTCAGATAATATTTAGAAATTAACAGCTAAGAATAAAATAATATAAATGTTTAATCTACATTATAAATTCACGTATCTGTCATAATCTGATGCATGTCTTTGAACAACTGTAATACAATCAAATCACACTTTGAAAACGTTAACATTTTAAATATCTACATGCCCACATTCATCTCCTCAGCTTATACATGTATGCAGCGACTGCACAAAACTGACGTGTTCATGGCGCAATAAAACGCTAATCAAACTGCTACATTTTCTCACTATCTTGATGCATTACCCTACTGTAAACATAATTCAACAGTTTATCAGCGAATGAAGAGAAAATAAACGAACGGATTTATAGAGTAATTTAAGAGAATAAAAACCCGAGCCAGATTGAACATCACAGTTTTCATTGTCTCAAATTTTTCTTTGTCCATCGATAAGATCTCCCTCATGTAAAGAAGCCGTAGCGAATCTGCAATAACATACGGTGCCAAGAAGGCAATATAGGAAACCATGATCAAACTTATCATCTTTGAAATCTTCTTTATGTAAAACGATTTTTCCGGAAGAAGGGATTTTCTCATCACATTCATCTCGGCTACGTATAAACTCACAAAGAAACAGATTGGGACTATCAAGATATACAAAGCAATCGCTAGCTGAACTATGGAATCTGTGTTCTCGTCCACGTGTCCTTTGTAATATTGTCGATTGTACCAACCATATATAAGTCCAAGTACCAAACTAAGCAACCATGATGACAAGGAAGCAATCACAACTTTACCGGAAGTTAGGCAATATTTCATTGTGAAAGGATGAACAATTAATCCATAGCGGACCAATGCCAACAGAATTATATGCATGGCGGAGGAATGAACCACGACGGCCGTTATTGTCATTAATGTCTCTCGAGT